GAAAAGGAAGGGCTGAGTCAGGAGTCACCAGCCAGACACAGAGGAAGCAAGATGTCAAGGCAGAACTGAGAAAAGGTACCAAGCCATGTGGCTAAACATAGGTAAGAATTTTGAGTTAATTTAAGTGTAAGAGCTAGTCAGTAATAAGCCTGAGCTAATGGCCAGGCAGTTAATATAAGCTTCTGAGTGATTATTTTGTAAGTATGCCACGGGACTGTGGGGCCTGGCGGGACCAGAGAAACCTGACTACAGAGATGATACTGCCCTATTTCCCAATGTGGTGGGCCTGGGTTGTACCAGCCTGCCAGGGACACTAGCTGAGCCTTTCATTCTTGGTTGGGTGTAGTCCTAAAGCTAGGACTATTAGGCATAATACTACACCCCGACTCTAAAATCAGTAGCTGAAATACAAGCCACTCACCCAGCACGGATGACAACCAATTTTCCTACGACCACTCTCATCTTGTTTTAAGTTTGTGCTATTGCTCAGGAGCCTTGCACACAGTTCTGACATGTGAACTGCCTTTTAGCACCTTAGCGGAGGCAGCTTAAGAAGAGAACTGTGGGTTCACTTCCATGAGCACTTCTGAAAGCGCTGGGAGACCTTGATGCCCCCACAGGAAGCCCACCAGGAGCTCCCTACAAAGAAAACAAAAGAACCAATCAGCCTGTAAGTGGGAGCTCCTGTCTCGTCCAGTGCAATGGACAAAAATTCTCATCAGCTTCTCGTGTCACACATTCTAGATAAGCACAGACTGCAGCTGAGGCTGCCACAGCATCTTGCCAGTGTTCCAAACAGGGTGGTCATCACTGGGATGAGCTTTCCAGCCACCCTGGCAGATGTGGCACACCACCTCTGTGGACCGTTGTTCATCATCACTTCCAGGCAGCCCAGGGAGAAAGCCTGCACTACACCCAACAACTCCATCTCTGAGACTATTGTCTTACCGAGCCCCACCTCTTCCACTGGACTGTTTTTACTAACTTTGCTTTCATCTTCATCAGAGAGTCCAGAAACAACCTTCTGAAACCTGCCTTGGAAATGGCTAGGCAGTCCAGTTGAGGTCATTACCCTGGAGCCCCCATGTGACATTCCCATCAGAACCGGGGGACAGAAAGGACTCTCCTTGTCTTTGGAGACTAGTGAGTTTGTTTCGGTGAATCTTGGAGTGTATGACTGATTTTTTTTTTCACTCATGACTGATCTTTATGGTGATATTTTATTTGTATTAAAATATTATTTGTATGTTAATAAATAAAGTTGCCCGGGGGTCAGAGCTATTAGCAAGCCATAGGAAAGCAGGGCAGTGGTAGCGTACGCTTGTAATTCCAGCACTTGGTAGGCAGAGCTGGGTAAGTCTCTGTGTGTTCAGGGATACAGCCATTATTGGATACACATGCTTTTAATCTTAATACCAATCATGGAAAACCTGGAGGCCTATACAGACAGGCTGTGAGGAGGCGGTCATGTGGTTGGGTTTACAACCAATGAGAAGGCAGGACAGGAACTCTATATAAAGACTTTAACAGAGGGGTAGCTCTCTCTGGTTCGGAGAGGTAGGACCACCGCAGGAGGAAGGGTAAGGTTTTAGCTCTTAGCTCTGACCTCTTGGCTTTCTTCTTTGCATTGGTTCTGTGTTTATTATTTAATAAGAAGGTTGGATACATCTACAGATCTTTTTTTTTTTTTTAACTTTAAATCTATGGGTAGGAGGAGCTGGAGAGATGGCTCAGGGGTTAAGAGCACTGAATCCTTCCAGACCCAGGTTCAATTTCCAGCAACCACATGGCAGCTCACAACTGTCTGTAACTCCAGTTCCAGGGGATCTGACATCCTTACACATGCATGCAGGCAAAACACCGATGCACATTATATAAAGTTAAAAAAAATTTTAGCCAGGCAGTGGAGGCGCACGCCTTTAATCCCAGCACTCGGGAGGCAGAGGCAGATGGATCTCTGTGAGTTCGAGGCCAGCCTGGTCTACAAAGTGAATTCCAGGAAAGGCGCAAAGCTACGCAGAGAAACCCTGTCTCGAAAAAACAAACAAACAAAAAATTTAAAAATATCTACGGGGCCAGGCGGTGGTGGTGCACACCTTTAATCCCAGCACTCGGGAGGCAGAGGCAGGTGGATCTCTGTGAGTTCGAGGCCAGCCCGGTCTCCAAAGCGAGTTCCAGGAAAGGCGCAAAGCTACACAGAGAAACCCTGTCTCGAAAAAAACCAAAAAAAAAAAAAAAAAAAAAAAAAAAAATCTATGGGTAGAAAAATAATAAGATTTAGTTTACTTAAGTTCCTTTAAGTAACTCATTTTAAAAAGTGAAGAACAAGTCTTCTGAATGGAAAGGCACACTGTTAAGTCTTTTGAGAGGCTGTTGATGTCACTGTATTTATTAGGCAAATACAGCTTTAGGCATCTGTAGGTCAGAAACCAAGTACACACCTCCTCTTCTGAGCAGAAACAAAAATTAGTTTTCCCTGCCAATCAGGCACTTAAAATGTAAATATCAACTGAAGTCATATTCCTACATCCCTCCAGAATGTTTTCACAAACATAGAAAGTATATTTCCAAACAGAAAGAACTCTCTTAAAATAAACCGACAATGAATACAGAACTTCAGCTTAAATCCCACGTGACAGGTGAGTGATTAAGAGCCCAGGAGCCGGCTTCGCAGTTAAAGGTGCGTGTTATGCAAGCCTGCTGGCCTGGGCTTGATCCCAAGAATCACAGAGAGGTGGGAGGACAGAGCGGACTCCACAAAGTTGTCCTCTGACCTACACACACTCACTCACTCCCCCCCACACACATACTCACTCGAACACACACTCACCCACCCACATACACACACACTCACACCCATCCACCCACTCACTCATACACACACTCACCCCCAAAACACTCACCACCACCCCACTCACTCATACACATACACCCCCCCGCCCCACGCTCACTCACATTACAGTAACTTTTTAAAATGTAAAAGACAGTAGTGGATAGAAGAGACTGAAATACATATATTTGATTAAAATGTAAGCATTTAATAAAATGATTACAACAGCACACAGTAGATAATCATAATGAAAAATAGAGGTCAGGAAAATAATGAATTCTAGACTTAAATTTTACTTTACAACAAGGCACTTAACACATGGAAACAGGATAGTAAATATCCAAAAGAATGCAACTGGCTGCCTCTCAAACCTTGTAAAGATATTCCTTGTGTGATACACTGTAACTCACTAACCAGACAGTTCGCAGCATTAATTGCATAGGAGGTAAATTAAATAATGAATTCCAACTTGGCAACTAGATTAGCTTATAGTTTCTCCTCTTTCTTTTAAAAGATAGTTTAAAATAATTCTACAGTGACCCACCCTTGCCATTCATGATTCCCTAGGAACACAGTACAGTAATATTAGTGAGTAATAAACCAGCGCTTATGAGGCGTCTACCTGTATAAAAACTTATCTTTGGGTACCTCTGACATGATTTTCAGTATATGGATATCGAATTCAAGAGCACTTCTTCATAAGATGCATTTTGTCATATGAGTCAAAGGGGCTAAATTATTGCAACAATGGCATTAAAAACAATATCAGAAATCCTTACATAAACATAGAAAAGGCTCCAACACAATACATATAACTTATACTTGATTAAGACATGTAAACTCATTTATTAAAAGATTCCTTCTCACACTTCCTTACACTACAGTGGTGAATGTGTTAAGACCAGCTTAAATTTTTAATCGGTTTTATAGTATAAAACCAAAACAATACAAAAAAAGTTTAAAATATTTATGGAACAAGATATGAACTTTTAATTAAAATTGAAGTGAGTTCCAACATAAATAAAGACAGTTGACTTCGGGTTTTGAAGTAAACACAGTCCGGTAGTTATAGACTAGACATTAATGATTGTGATATAAGAGGTAAAAACAACCAGAAATTCTCTTTGATCAGATTCTGAGTGCTTTCCCATTAAGAAGGATTTACAATGTTTTTAAAATACCTTCTTTTCCATGAGAATTTTGAATTTTTGGCAAAAAAAATATTGAACAACGAAAAGCAAAAAAACAAAGCAACTTTGCAGAAACCTTGAAAAACTATTTTTAAAGTAGCATTTGTATTCCAGACATGACATATTGCCACTAGGAGGCACTGGTAACACAGCGAAGACTCCATGGCCACAAACCTGCCCAGAGATGTCATGAGCTGACTCTCAGCCAGCCCTCTGTCCTCAGTAAAGCCTGCTTCACGAGCTGCCAGTAACTCAAAGGACAGCCACAATTAGCTCAGGAGGGACTGGGGGAAGGATGCTTCCTTTTTCGGATCTAGTGGAGGAGCTCAAAAAATGAAGTTTCAAAGAACTCCCTTTCCATTGGTAAGCTTCAGGAAAAACATGTAGCATGTTGCATGTGTGTTATGTATTATTGGCATTTTCCAGAAGTGCTATGTTACAGGAAAGCCAAAAGCATGGGCTCACAAAAACACAGGTAATAGGTAAGATCTGCATCTTTTTTGTTTGTTTGTTTTTTGTTTTTTCGAGACAAGGTTTCTTTCTCTGTGTAGTTTTGTAGCCTGTCTTGGAACTTGCTTTGTAGACTTGGCTGGCCTTGAACTCACAGAGATCCACCTGCCTCTACCTCCTGAGTGCCGGGATTAAAGGCATGTGCCACCACCACCTGGCAAGATCTGCATCTTAATTGGCAAAGAAAAGGTGCTGCGATAATTCATCACTTTGGCTGGGTAGGCATGGTCCCAGCACTCTGGAGGTTGAAGCAGGAGGATTGAAATGGGAAGTCCATCTGGGCTACACGGTGAGATGAGACCATCTCAAACATAAAATTACTGTTTCAAAGGCAGCATCGTAATTGTCTACATTTTATATCCCAAATGGCATGTTAAATTGAGTCTCCAATTTGCTTTCCTACATTGAAATGAATTTTGATCATCTTTCACATCTTGAAACTTGGACATCTCCCTCTCTTATTTTCTTTGTTTCTTTTTTGTTTTTCTCGAGACAGGGTTTCTCTGTGTAGTTTTGGTGCCTGTCCTGGATCTTGCTCTGTATACCAGGCTGGCCTCGAACTCAGACACCAGCCACCTGGCTCTGCCTCCTGAGTTCTGGGATTAAAGGCGTGCACCACCACCGCCTGGCATCCCTCTCTTATTTTCAAGCCACATGCTTCCTCATCAGCATCTATGAGAGAGCCATAGTGAATATACAGAGAGCATGGGAAAAGTAGTGTCCACACAAGACTCACGGGTATTTTCAAAGTCCTTTAGAAAGTGATGGTATTGTTTTTTCCAGCCTGGATTATTTGACTAAATGGCAAGGTTTACGGTTTCAAGGGTCCCCAACAATCAGCATGCAATGTAATAATGCTTAAGCGTTTCCTCAATTGAAGAAACACGGGAAATCTTAGCCACAGCTGGAGAAGGCTCTCGGGTGTTTTTTTTCAATGAGGGACTCACAGACCAAAGGCTTCAGTGCCAAATGAATCCCTCACAATCAGATGCAGAAGTTAAATTAGTGTTTCGAAGTAAAACATTTTGTTCTAACTTAAGGGTCAGAGTTGAGGAAATGGACATGTGAAAACTGTAGAGAATTGTGTCTAATACAAGATAAACTGGGTATGCATTTGTTATTGGTTTTTTCAATAAAAATACTTGAAAAAACCCTTGCATTTCAAAGTCTGCTGAAGATCTTTAGGGTTCCCACTCTAGTGAAGATAGCCAGATTTGAGAATCTTACTCTCTTGCCTTTGAATCCAGAGCCCTTTTCTTTACCTCCCCAGTAGCACAGAAAGACAGACATTCTGGACACATACACAGAATTTTAGCACCAGAGGGCAATGGCCCTTCTGAACAAATCTGCATTGTGCTTTTTTTCCCAAGCAATTTAAAGTTTAATTCTGACTACTCAAGGCCAACTAGCTTATAAGGATAAACCCGAGGATGTTCTCCACCCATTTCATCACTGTGAATGTGACCGCCTCCTTCCACCCTGCTTCACCTCCCTTGGCTCCCATGCTGACAAGTGTGTAACCGGAGAACGGTTTCCACCGTTAACTGTAAGTTTCACAGGCTAATCTTCCAGTAGTTAAGAAATCAAGGCAGGATTATGCAAAGAAGCACTAGCACTGAGTGACATATTAAACCAGATATTCTTAAACCTACCAGATTTTTAAAATCTGTTCAATATTAGACATAGCTGTCCCCTGTTCTTTTTTGGGGAGTGGTGGTGGTGGGTTATTTGGAGACAGGATTTCTCTGTGTAACAGCATTGGCTGTCTTGGAACTTACTTTGTAGACCAGGCTGGACTCGAACTCAGAGAGATCAGCCTGCCTCTGCCTCCTGAGTGCTGGCATTAAAGGCGTGCGGCCCCCATGCTTAGCTCCCTGCTCCTATGTAGTTGAGGGTGGATGCCAACGGCATGTTTAAGTGCAGCACCATGTGTCATGTTCACAGGGTGGAAGTCAAACTGCTCAGTGGTGGTGTGTGCCCTCGGGAGCACTTAGAGAGCAGAGTGCCCTGCTTAAAGGCAGGGACACAGTAAACCTTTGGGATCCATCTTGCATTTCCTGCAAAGCACAGTATTAACTAAGAAGGAATTGTTTAAATGGAATGTGCCCAAACCTTTCTCTAGGTTCCAATTAGAAGCACATCACAACAGGGTCCAAGCTAGAAGGGGAGCATGCTCGTGTCCCCCACGAGTGTGAACATCACTTCACATATGTGTCTGCAGCCTGTGCTAGTGCAGTTAACAGCCCTGGGCTCCAGGCAGGCAGCCTCTAACGTGGAGAGCAGAAATGCCCCATGCTTCCTGTGGATCTGTCACAGAGACTTGAAAGTGAAAAATCCACACGCCAGAAAAACCCATGAGTGTGTCACTCTCACGCCCCTTGGAACACCCCTTCTTTAAAAATAAAATTATCGGGTAAAAGTTAAAAAAAAAAAAAAGGAAAAGTCATACATAGTGCATGGGGGTGGGGTAGCAGCAAAGCAAAGCCCAGACAGCACCCCAACTTCCCCCAGACGGGGCAGATACAAAGTGCACTTGACCCGGACCCACCTGTGGCATGCCCTCAGTGACCTGCGTGGTGGAAACCCGTTCCCACCATCACTGCCCGTATTCACACCGTGGCTCTACACATCCAGACATTTTATTCAAAACATTAGCAAACTCTTCTGACCTTGAAGGGAAAAACAAAATCTGGAAAGAATGTGGAAGTGGAGGAAGAATGAGGAGAGGCACAGTGTGTTCTTAGCCACCTCTTTAAAATCCCAGTTTGGGGGACTCTGTCACCCACGAGTGAAGAGCTGCAGGAAAATATACGTTTCTTGGGATGAATTAAAAAAAAAAAAAAAGCCAAAAGGTAATACTTCATTCGTTGTTCCGATCTTTTGCACAAAATTTGGTCCACGTCATTCACCAGTCAGTACTCTGAAAATAAACATGAAGCTGCGTCTTTGGTTATAGCATGGACTCTTCTGGTAGAAAAGCTACTGCCGGGTCAGCTGCTCACGTAGACTTTTCATTATCCTCCCCGATCTTCTGGACCCGTGAGTACTTTTTGCATGATGACTTGAAGCAGCCAGGGGGCCAGGACAGCGGCCAGGAGAAGCAGCAGGGAATGGAGCCTTGTACGTTCTTCTCAAAAAAATAGAAGATGGGGAACCACCAAGCCCGAGACAAGAAATTTGTCTGGGAAGAGACCTTCAAGTTCTGTTAAGGGTGGGGAAAATAAAAGGAGGCACTGTTTATGACTGCAGTTGAGACTTTTCAATTAAATGGCATTCATTACTTTATTTATTTCGTAACAGAAGTGAAAACCCACAGCACGAACTGCTGTCCTGCCTTTTTCCCAGCTCTGCTTTGACCTTGGTCCCCATGTCCTGCCCTCTGTGGCTCATGACATGGTCCCCATGTGGCCTCTGCTTGCAGTTCTCTAAGAACGAGGCTCAGGAATAGATGTGGAGGGCATTCAAGAGAAGTATTTTCAGGATGTGTTGTGGTCAGATAAAAGGGCCAAGGAGGAGTGAAAGGAAAACTTGGAAGGCTGAACATACTCAAGAAGAAAAACGGAGGTTTTGGTTTAGGTGTCTGGAAGCATCTAGATTAGGTATCTGGAAACATCTAGATCAGCATGTAAGAAGGTAAAGACAGCAGAGGACGGCACTGGCTCAGTCAGTAAAGCATGGGACTCTGAATCCCAGGGTTGTGGGTTCGTGCCCCATGTTGGGCACCAAATGTAGCTGGAAGTTTTCCTGTGTCCTGTCTGGTCCTGCAGCTGTTCAGACCCAAATAAACAACAAGGGCTTTTATACCAATTATGAATTGCATGGCCTGTGGCTCAATTTTTCTAGCTAGCTAGCTTTTATAACTAAACTCAGCCAATTTCTATTAATCTACATGTCGCCATGTGTTCTGTGGCTTTACCTATGTATCATTACATTCTGCTCCCTAGACAACAGGATGGCGTCTCTTCCGCCTCTTTCTTTTTCCTGTCTCTCTCTTGGATTTTCCGCCTGCCTCTAAGCTGCCTTGCCATAAGCCAAACAGCTTTATTTATCAACCAACCAGAGCAACACGTATTCACAGAATGCAGAAAGACATCCTCCAGCAGAAGACTACAGAGTAGCTAGCGACTGAGCAGCAGAGCCAAATAAATGGAACCATAGAAAACAATGATTTGTGGACACCAAGAGCTCTGAATAGATCTTTCAGTAATGACAAGCCAGTTGCTTGTAGATTTTATACACATGTACACCACACACACACACACACAGCACAGCAACATGGGGTAATCTATTCCAAGATAAATCAGTAATGATACACAGACCAACCGTATTACAGCAAGAACATTACCAAGGCTGGAAAAACCTGGGTGGGTGGTGGAGGTGAGGCAATCTTGGGCCCAAAGGGAGAGAACAAGAGAAATAGGAAGCTTCCCAGGATGGAGGTAAGAGGTGGCATTTGAGCAAGCACTAAAAGAATGAATGGGATAAGAATGGGGGTCATCATGCCAGGCAGTGGTGGCGCACGCCTTTAATTCCAGCACTTGGGAGGCAGAGGCAGGCAGATCTCCGTGAGTTCAAAGCCAGCCGCCTGGTCTACAGAGTGAGTTCCAGGATGGCTCCAAAGCTACACAGAGAAACCCTGTCTCGAAAAACCAAAAAAATAAAAACAAACAAACAAAACAAAACAAAAAAACGAATGCGGGTCATCCTGGAACAGGAAGAAAGGAAGATAGAGGTGCTGATCACCCCAAAATATAATCAACAAGTCCTTCAAACCTAGTATAAATCAGCTGAATTGGCAAAACAGGCTGTCAACGATTTTACAGTGTTCTTAATCCTCAGATAGCATGTACATTTGTGAAGTTCTTTCATGGTTACTTTTTAAAATAAGCAGCTGTGACAGTAAGTTTAGCTAGACTGATTGTATCTGGGTGATAACAACAGTCCTTCCCATGCAGTTATCTAAAACCCCCATCTACGGAAGTGGGTCCCCGGCACACGGCGGACACTCCTCACCCAAGGGTCTTCACTGCTCTAAAACCCCCATCTACGGAAGTGGGTCCCCGGCACACGGCGGGCACTCCTCACCCAAGGGTCTTCACTGCTCTAAAACCCCCATCTACAGAAGTGGGTCCCCGGCACACGGCGGACACTCCTCACCCAAGGGTCTTCACTGCTCTAAAACCCCCATCTATGGAAGTGGGTCCCCGGTACACGGCGGGCACTCCCCACCCAAAGGTCTTCACTGCTCTCACCTTTTCATTGGCCATGGAATGGTACCACCAAAACAGCCGTGTTGTGATGTAGTAGGCAATGATCACATCGACGGTATAGTGTTCATGTGCCACAAGAATGCAGATGATCCCAGCAGCACTCAGCAGCCAGCAGACCAGATGATACCACCAGAAGTGACGAGGTGAATCTGGACCGCGGGAAAACAGAGGCAGTAAGATTCCCAGAGATGGACTCATGGGCCGACTGACTGGCTGGGGAGGCAACCCAGGGTTTTATACATGCTAAGGAAATGTTCTCCCACCAAGCTGTATCTTAATATTGTCCCAATAACCTCGAGCAGGACCATTAAGACTGATGCTATGAACTGCCTCAGTTTACCCAGAGAGAGGGCAGAGGGAATCACGTTAGCAGGTATGGCAGTCATTCTCAGGAGGTTGGTGGGTAACAAGCCTTGCCCACCTTCAACAATCTATTAAGAACAGAAGACAATAGAATTGTTATTTATGTTGGCTAGAACTGGCTCATACTGGCTCACATACATGACCCTATTGAAAGAGAAACAGGGCCTAAAGAAAAGCTCTATGAAAATAAGGGGGGCAAAGTGAGAAAGCAGGGGTATTTTGAGGTCTTAAGTTTACTTTTATTTCTTCAGGTGTGTATCTGTGGTGGGGAATGTCAGTGTGGCAAGCAAGATTTGACTCTCAGCAATTTTATATCACCATTGCCAAAAGCAGTGGGGCAGCTCTCCAGTGCAAAGCTCTGGCTTCTTGGCCCTCCATGTGCTGACCTTTAACCTCCTGCTGAGGCTACTGAGAAGTTCGTGAGGCTGACCAGCTGGGAGAGAACTGTGGCAGTCACAACCCCAAGTCCTTCTCATGTAAATGCTCATGACAGACATGGCTGAAACAGACTATTCCTATTATCTGGCCATCTGGTACCCTTCCTTTTTTTTTTCTTTCTATTTTTAAAGCTTTACTGATTCACAATAAAAGTTTAATGATCTAATAAACTGAAATCAATTTCATGTTAAACTTTGTTTACATTCATAGCATCACACGTGCTCAATTTTTTGTAAAAGAATGGTTGAAGAGTAAAAGGCTCAATACCCGAAACTTCAGACAATGGCCTAGATGGTTATCAGTTATCATTCGCACACAAAGTGATTCTTGGTAAATCAGCTACAGTTCTGTGGATTCCCAAGTGGAACCATAGCCCTATAAATGATTCTCTCATTTCAATTTCTTCCTCATCATTTAATTACTTCATCCTGATGCTAAAATCTCCAAGATAGTTTACAGAATCCTAGGACTGAAATACCAGGAGAGGCCTTAGGGGGGCCTAGATCCAGTCCAGTGGCTATTGCATTAGAACCCTGAAAATTGAGGTAACCCTGATGATGCTGAAGGTCTCATTAAATGCATTCTCCAGTTCCACTGGTCTCCAGCCCTCCTGAAGTTCTGTTTCTGACCCACTTTTCTCACATAGGTCATGGGGACTTACTAACAGCTTAACATGTTTGGGCACATTAGAACTATTCTGTATCATTAATCACCAGAAGCTGAAATGAGTAAAGAGTAATGATGTGGCTGGAATGGCTATTTTACTACTGGTGGTATTGAAATTAGGGTTTTTAGGAATTCTGGGAAACCCCGCGTGTCCTATGAAAATGCATTTTCTATGATGCTACCACACTGAGATCACGACCCGCTCTCCTCCCCACACCCCCAAGAATAAGATGACTTGTTTTGTTGCTATTTATTGTGGTGAGAAAGTGTCTCACTACGTAACCCAGGTTAAACCAACAATCCTCCAGCTTCAGCCTCCTTAGTGCTGAGATCTCACATACCTAGCTGGTAGAAGCTATTTTGAAATCAAAATGGCAAATGAGAATCCTGTTTGTTCAGCTCCTTCTAGCCACAGGGATAGCATCAAGTGAAAAGATGACAAGGAATGGACTTCGCCGTCTGGGGGGGTTCTCCAGCCGAGTTGGCATTAAACAGATACAATGGACCCAGCATGGTGGCAAGTACTATGACAATCCATTGATGAGGAGGCCAGGCAGTCAGTATTAACAGCCACACTGTCTTCTGCAGGCACAGGTTTTAAAGAATCCAGGCTCCAGCGAGCATATTGGTGCAATTAAACTCTTTCATGTTAACTAATGAAATGGTCCTGACCCAGTATGCTCTCCCAACTGAATTTTAATCCACTCTCAACAAGAGTGCTAGCAAGGAAATGATCAAAAGGCAGAGGAGTAATCACATATAAACAGTAGCTCTGCTAGCAGGAGACTTTCCAAACCACTGGAGCCACGGCTTACTCAGGGAAACAAGACAGGTATGACTAGACAGTGACCACAGGACAGGTACACACACAGACTGTCCTGTGTACACAGAGGGCCAGGGACGCAGGCCAATTTACATTAGGTAGTAGATCTGATACTTTATTTTGCCATAGGGAACTATGCCTCTATAGGTCATATACAGAATTAATCACAATTTGTCTTTCTTCTTGCTCTGAAGGGGAAGAAGAAAGAAAACCATGCCCTGTTTATCAATAAGTGGATATTCTTAGACAATCCTATGAGATCAGACAACTTGAGACCAGGCGGGGGTGGCGCACGCCTTTAATCCCAGCACTCGGGAGGCAGAGCCAGGCGGATCTCTGTGAGTTCGAGCCCAGCCTGGGCTATCAAGTGAGTTCTAAGAAAGGCGCAAAGCTACACAGGGAAACCCTGTCTCGAAAAACCAAAAAAAAAAAAAAAAAAAAAAAAAAAAAAAGAGAGAGAGAGAGAGAGAGAGAGAGAGAGAGAGAGAGAGAGAACTTGAACTGACCTCTTTCTTTGTTTCTTCCTTCTTCGTGTGTGTGCTCTGTGTGTGTGTGTGTGTGTGTGTGTGTGTGTGTGTGTGTGTAGGCTGGCTAGAGAGGTCAATGTCAAATGTCTTCCTCAGTTGATCTTTGTCTTATTGTTTGAATTTGAGACAGGGTCTCTCACTGAACCCGAATCTCACAGATCCAACAAGGTCAGCTGCCAGCAAGCCCCAGGGACACCTCCCCGGCCCCTTCCGCACTGTCTCTATAGTCCCAATGCTGGGATTATAGGCATGGGCTGTTATATCCGGTTTTTAACAGGAGCGTCAGAGACTCAACCTCAGGTCCCCATGTTTTGCAGTAACAAATAATTTACTGTCTGAGCCATTGCCCCAGCTTAAAAATCTCTAAAATTTCTAACAGAACCAAGAAATTAAGACCACAATCTCTGGAGTCAGATTGAGTTTGAACACCCAATCCTCAAACACTGGAGTTGTATATAATAGCCAGGTCACTTCCTGCACTCACATGTAAAGTGGAGGGAAACAGCACCTCTGGAGGGATAGCAGAGGACGGAGTTAGTGTGCCAAGGGCTCAGATTAGTGCTAGGCATAGAACCAGTACTATCTGTGAGCTGGGGGTCATATCACGTGCTCTTTAGATATTGAATAAACTGACATGGGTGCTTTCTTTTCACCACTTCAAGTGTTTGAGCAGAGCGCCTTTACTGCGACATGCCACGCCTTTACTGAGACATGCCACGACCACCCGCCCATCTTCTCTAAGTGTCCTTTGAGCCACAGATTGGAGAGCACACCTCTGGACCAGAAAATGATGGACCTTCTATGGATGGAACTTCCTTGGGCAAAAGCCAGAAGTAAAACCATAAAGACCATACTGTCATAACCAAATAATAACTATGTATTAGAAATGTGGCAATTCCATTTAATGGGGATTCCCTGGGGTTTGTGTAGAGATGAAGGAGGCCGTCCCCCCAACACGTACTGCGTATGGATACAAGCGATAGACACAGAAACGCCTGGGCTTTTAAGGCAAAGGTGATAAGAACCCCACATGTAGCTCAACCTGTCTGGGGTAATGAAAGGCCAAAAGAGGAGAGGAAAGCAAGAGATGGGGAGCCCCTGAATACAGGTCCGTGCCTGTGGTTATCTGAATCAGAACAGCCCTCATAGGCTCATGTGTTTGAATGCTTGACCCAAAGTTGATGGAACTGTTTGGGAAGGATTAGGGGAGGAGGTATGTTAGTTACTGCGGGTAGGCTCCGAGGTTTCAAAAGCCTATGCCATTCCCAGTTAATGTGCTCTCCCACCCCCCACCCCCCCACCCCCCTTCATGGCTGTTGTCTCAATACGTGAGCTCTCAGCTACTGCTCCATGCCTGCCTGCTGCCATGTTCCCAACCATGATGGTCATGGATTCTACTCACTCTCTGGACCTGTAAGCAAGTCCCAAATTAAACTTTCTTTTATAAATGACTTTGGTCATAGTGTCTCTTTACAATAACAGAAAAGTAATGAAGACAATGCCCAAAGCTCTTTTGTCCATGCCAAGCCAAGAGAACTGAGAGAAGCTTCTGGAAACACGGGGCATAGGGCATTCTGGAACACACAACAGCGATGCAAATCTGGAGGCATTCCATTCAGAAGGATGGAGGGAATGAGCAACGGTCATAAAGCGACACAAAGGGGGCCTGCTAGGCAGCGAGAACCAGTCACAGCCCCTTAGTGCGCAAAGCACCGCCTCATCAGTAAGAGCCACTGGGAAGCACTTAGGACAGAAGGGCTGTGAGTTCTAGGCCAGCTCCGACTGTATAGCAGAACCTCATCAAGCAAGCAAATAAATACCAATCAATCGAGTTGAAAAGTAAACTACTAGAAACATTAAGACAACACACTACTACAAAACATTAGGGCTTTACATAATGGGAACCTGGTGTATTGATATGGAAAGAGATTTCAATTTCTTGCCTGTGCATTTCTTAAGGACAAGATGTTCCACAAAATACCCAGTACTACAGAGAAGCAGCTGGGAAATGATAAATGATGACATTGGAATAAAATAGGACAAGGATGCGGACAAAATCGAGGAAATACGCATGAATTATTGGGCATCACACAGAACAGAAGTGTCTGGTGAATAAGTCAAAGGTCACTTGGCTTTGTCTTTAGAATGGTCTTCTTACAACACATTTATCATTTCATTTGTTTTTCACTGCATCTCCCTTTTTGGAAAAAATTTATAGCTCTGGCTAGCCAAGAACTCACTATGTAGACCAAGCTGGCCTTGAGCTCATAAAATCCACCACCTGCCTCTGCCTCCCAAGTTCTAGGATAAAAGGTATGCACTACCATGCTCGACCTGTTCTGAGTCTTGATATTAAGAACTTCCTGCCTTGAGACGCACTAAGGAAGAAGGGGGATATTTAGAGGCATACTGAATGCTAGAAGAAACCACAGCCAGGGCTTTACCCTTCAGGGTCACAAATGACTAGGTGGGGTGACAAAGTGCACGTGTGCACAGAGAGTTGACATCTCTCTCCCAACGGTCATCCTAGCCCTGGGACCCCGCCCACCACAGCCATCCGTTCAGTGAGGAATGAACTATGACTTACATTCTTTGATGAACAAGTAAGTAAGTGTCAGCACAACCGTATGACCACTGAAGAGGAAGTCTCCACACAGGATGTGTGATCCCGTTATGGACAACCCACCGCCAGAAATCAACCGGAGAATCCGTTGTATTTTTGCTTGAGAGTCTCCATTGAGCTGAGTGACACAAAACACAAAGAGGAAAGTTTACAAACTGCTCAAAGTCATGTTTCAGCTAGAAAAGTCATCAGGTTGTGGTTTTTATCCTCATTTCAAATTTTTCCTTTTAACATAAAAAGTCAAAAATATTCCAAGAGGAAACTCCTCCAAGTAGGTTCTCCTCGTTATGTTGGTAGGGTTTATTGACATGTTTTAAATTATTCAGTATGTTACTAATAATATGTTTTAGTGGTGTTGTGTCCTTGGGCAAAGCTTTTAAAAATATTAATAACCAATGACTTCATCACTATGTGCTAAAAGGCAGATTGGAGCTCCTTTGTTTCCTCTTGGCAGGAGAAGTGAGGATTTGGGGTCATTACCGTCCGACTAAGCTGTACACCGCATCTGCTGGCACCTTGTGTTAAGTGGGCGGCATCGAGCGGGCATACAGCCTCATTGGTGTATGCTGGAAACATGGTTACAAGAAACCCAGCTCACAATTTAAAGGACACATTAGGGACTGTACCATCGAGCTGTCAAAGCTTTGGTCAGGAAAGCATATCACAAGGAATCTACGCTCTCTACTGGGGTCAAGGGTACAGAAGCCTCTCTAAACCACAATGACGTCATAAGAAACAATGACGGGCCGGGTGGTGGTGGCGCACGCCTTTAATCCCAGCACTCGGGAGGCAGAGCCAGGCGGATCTCTGTGAGTTCCAGGCTAGCCTGGACTACCGAGTGAGTCCCAGGAAAGGCGCAAAGCTACACAGAGAAACCCTGTCTCGAAAAACCAAAAAAAAAAAAAGAAAAAGAAAAAGAAACAATGACAGGCTAGGGCAGGAACGTCCAGCAGTAGTTGAAAACTGTACATCCTATTAGAACGTAAGCATACAAGAAAGAGTACATCGGAATATGAGGCAGGACAACTTAGAAGAGACAGGCTGGGGCTGGGTGGACAGGTGCAGGGAAGCCTAATGTGGAGAGAGTCAGTGTTGGGGATCTAAGAACGGCACTCAGGAAGCGGAGCATGACAGTCTGCAAGCGGGAGAAACGCAGAAGGACTGGTACTGACTAGTCACTTGGGATCTTGGGGACAGGTTGGTGGCATGCCTGCCTTCTTGGTACTCAGTACTTCTGCCTCTGGACACTGGTCCCTGAAGCACGGCAGCCCAGCCACACCAGTGGTTAGGCTGGCAGGCGGAGCAAACACTATCATGTCTTGCCTGAGTGGACACTGTGAAGGATTGTGAAGGAGAGTGTGTACAGATGGATGCGGAGAGCCTCAAAGCAGGTGGAATACAACCCCGCCCAGGACAATAAGGAACCACATTCAGAATCTTTGGCTAAAACATCTGCCTTTAGGGGACCAGAAAATGACCTGGTTTAGAGCACACTGCTCTTGCAGGAAGTCACCTGGTTACCAAGAAACCTGTGTGAAAAGGCAAACACACGCAGCTGCTCGGCTTGTAATACACTGCTATATAGAAATGACGCAGAGCAGAATTAGTGTGTCCAGGGGCTGAGGCTTCTAAGACATTTTACCTTGAAGTTTGCTACAAGCACGTCCAGCTGGCAAAACCAAAGAGTTCCCAGCAGTGGCCAGTCCTTACTAAGATCTGGGTAAGAGTCTCTTACATGCTTAAGGATTAGTTCCAGGGTAGCAAGGTGATGCTATTAGGAGACAGCTATTAACTGCCAGGCAGGGTGGCACATGTCTTCGATCCCAGTACTCACACTCCTGGAGGCAGAGGCAGGCAGATCTCTGGGAGCCTGAGACCACCAGGTTGGGGGTAGGGGGACTAAGAGGGAGGGAGGGAGGGAGGGAGGGAGGGAGGGAGGGAGGGAGGGAGGGAGGGAGCACATGCTAAGCTATGGAACCTTCTGGGAGGTCTTAGGCTAGCGGTGGTGAACCTCTTAGGGGTGTGGGGCCCACCCCTCTCTTTTCCCACCGTCTCGTCTTCCCGGCTCACAGTGTGAGCAGGTGCTCTGTCAATAGCTCATAGGCTGCCTTCTCAAAGGCCCAAAGGCTTGTGGAGAGGACAGGAGTGCACGCACTTGAGGAAGGCAAGAGGCTGTTGACAAACCCCACGGCTGACTTCCGGAACCCCTCAAAGGCATTCGGATGAAACGTATCGGGTGAAGCAGCATGCCCTTGACATGGAAGATACAGCACAGCACTGGTGCTCTCAGCAGCCACCATCCTTTTCCTGTCATGAGACTGGTGCGGAAAACTACCCACGATGAGCTCCAACAGAAAGGAGCACACACGATGCCCAAGTACCGCAGCCCGAGACTGCAAGGACACGTCACCTCCACTGCCCTCCATTCACCCCGCAACTTTCATACTCTGAGGGTAGGAGCACTTAAGGTCGTTTGTGTCTCTACTTGGGGTCAGACGCCCTGAGGGGTAAACAAAGCAGTTCCTCCTGGACCACACATGGTGTCCTCTCTTCTCTTCAGCAGTGTTGGTACATGATAGCCCCCAACCCATCGACAGCTTGCTTTCAGAGGTCTCACAATCAACCACAGCCTGGAAACAGTAAGAGGAAAGCTCCCCCCTCACCCCACCCCCCAAAATCAGTTTTTAAGTTTTAACTGTAATGTGTTGGGTTTTTTTTATTTTGGTTTGTTTGTTTGTTTGTTTGTTTGTTTTTCAAGACGAGGTTTCTCTGTGTAGCCCCAGCTGTCCTGGAACTAGCTCTGTAGACCAGGTCTCTGTGTCTATATCTGTTTCTTGGGCTCTTCCTTGGGCTTTTCTCCTTCTGTTTGTTTTGTCCCGTTCTGATGTATTTATTTTTGTTTTATCATATTATATCTATCATCTTATATTTCCTCAGGAACCTGTTTGTTTTCTAATGAGAGATGGAAAGGGCATGGATCTGGATGGGAGGGGACATGGGGAGGGACTGGGAAGGGGAGAAGGAGGGGGTTATGTGAAAAAAAAAACTATTTTCAATAAAAGAAAAAACTTACAAAATATCCATGTATAAAATTTTCAAATAGCCGGGCGGTGGTGGCGCACGCCTTTAATTCCAGCACTCAGGAGGCAGAGGCAGGCGGATCTCTGTGAGTTCGAGCCTGGGCTACCAAGTGAGTTCCAGGAAAGGCGCAATGCTACACAGAGAAACCCTATCTCGAAAGACCAAAAAAAAAAAAAAAAAAAAATTTCAAATAATAAAAAGGAAAAAAGATTAAAAAAAAATAAAAGGAAAGAAAAAAAAAGAAAGAAAAAGAAAAGCCCCTTGGCCAGCTCTAGCCATGGTGAGGGGAAGCTAGCCCTAAAAGGATTCCATGGGAAAGGAACATGTCACTGTCGCTAAAGAGAATGACTTAGAAAAATGAAAACATTTCACAACTAAGCCAAGTTTTACCTAGACACACACTGAAGAAAATGGAGACTCTGGCTGTAAGCCAGAGCTTGGGTGGGTGCAGGAAGCAAGCTGGACGCAAAGGACGTAAAGAAGCCACAGGATAGATGAGGCCGAAGCTGACGGTCAAACTGGAAGAGTCCGGGATGCCACTGTGAGAACTCTGGGAGTGATGAGTTGTGTGAGCTGTTGGTTTCTAGACAGAGGCGCCTTCTCACAGAGAGAGGGAGGCTTGGGCATGTGCGGATCTGTCATTGCTCACTCTGAAGGACATTCACCAGCCTTGCCAACACAGGAAACAGGTAGGTATCGAAGAGTCTTGTGGCCACAAGCATCGAGGCAGCGCTAGGAAGCAGCAGCTGGGCCAAATTTAGAATGCAATTTTGACTCCTGCTCTCTATTCACCACATCTCCTTCAGCCGGACGGGGAGATGCATGTGTCCGTTTACAGAACTGAGTCACAGGCAACTTCAGCCTACTACCCAGGAGGAGGGCACGTTCACTGAACGTGGCGGATGATTAGCCAGGGAACCTCCACCAGGCGGGTCTGCAGCTTGGCTCTCCCTCAGCATATTTACTGATGTGGCTTTGGAAAACTGCAGTTCTTCCATGAAGGGAGACCTTTAATCTGTCTTTTTCTAATCAGTGACCCTTCCATTCCCAGGAAGGGTTTGCCTTACTCTGCGGTGGGTGGCCACCTCGAAGTCTCGGACATTCTTGTTTGGCTTCTGAACTCTCACGTCTTAAATTAGTTTCAGTCAAACCCAGGCAGTGTTTAAATTCAATGTGTACACTGTTTTAATTACAGACACATTCTGCTTTGATGGCTTTAGGAAATTACTGTTTCTCCAAACCACACCTATATTTGGTAAGGGAGATGGCTGGCTTCTCCAGAGCAACCCTGTCCCGTTCCCTCCTGACATCTGCTTAGTGTTCAGTGAAGGCTAATGTTAGCCTTCGTCCCCTTGTCCAGAAAGCACGTGCTCTGTAAGTTTCCATTTCACGAGCCAGAGTGCACAGGGGTCTATGACGAGGAACAGCCAGCCTGTGCCTGAACGCTACGTGAAGAAACTGTAACTTCCCTTCGGACAGCTTCCACAACAGCGAAGCCTACTCCGTCTTTCCACTGGTTAATCATCTAGAGTGGTCCCTGACTTTCCTCTCTCAAACCGTATCCACACCATTAGTGTGGTCTGTCAATCTTCCTGGCAAGATGTGTCCTGGATTAAGAGACGTCACAACAGCAGTGAGAACTTTTGCAGTCTGTCGCCAGTACTGCTGACGCTCTCACTGCCTGCTGTTCCTTGAACCCAAGGCAGCTAAACTCCTCTCCTGGCCTGTGGCTCTCACCCGACCCATGTGGCTAGTTCTCCCTTGCTTCCTGCCAAGTTTTTTTTAAAAACATCTTTTCCTAACCTTGCTGTAAAAAAAAGTTCCTATTGTTTTCCTGTGATGATCACCTGACTTGGCATCATGTGATACATTATGAATTTATTGATCATTTATTGTTCCTTGAAAGAGTATAAGCTCCAGGGGAGGGCCTGTGCTTTGGTCACACTACAGTGCCTGGGACCCTAAGTACTATCCTTACAGAATGAATGCCTGAGATAGAGAAATAAGCGAACAAAGCAGAGTCAAACACTGGTGAATTTTTAGTTAGCAGAAAGCCGATTCTTTGTATGTGAAAATGGAAAGTTCTTAATGAGCATGTTTCCCCATCTAAAGCAGATTGCAGCTGACACCAAAGAAAGTACATGGAGGACTGTGGGAAAGCATGAGTGAGTGCTCTGGGGTGGCTCTACAGAGTCCTCTCCGTGGGACCCGGAGGCTTACCTTCGGAGCACACTGGAAGTGCATTCCGGGCACAGGTAACGTAGTGACGTACATAGTTATGCAGCGATACAGGTACAATGTTCCGATGATGAAGAAGAATCTGCGGCCCACTATGGACCTAAAGAGAACACAGGGATGGGAGAAATAGGTTTACCAGTAGTCCGTCTTGTTGTTTTTATTTTATTGGGGTGGGGTGTGGGTAGGCAGGGTCGCACCCTAGTCCACGCTAGCCTGGACCATACTATATGCCTAGTCTTGCCTCAAATTCATGATCCTCTGGCCTCAGGCTCCTGAGTGTGGGGATCACAGGTGCAAGCAACAATCCCTGGCTCCCTGTATTTCTAATGCAATGTGATTCAATGTTTAATTGACTAAAAATAATAGACACAATGGAATTAACAAAGAAACCTCAGTTTCACAGAATTTTAAGGCCTGTGAGCCACCCATCCCATAATTCCATAGTGAGACTGATCCCATCTCCATAAAGAAAGATTTATACACTGAAGTATATCTAAGTGATTTGGAACCTGAAGGGACCAAAAATGTGGGAACAGGGGAAACTTAAGAACACGAAAAATCTATACAGTTTCCTTTCCTAAAAAATGTCTTCCTTTGCCAGGAAATTCAATAAGCCTCTCTCTGTTTTCAGTCAACTCGCCGATTAACAAAACCCTCTAGGGAACACACCAGAGATGTAAGTGAGCTGTGGCCATAGAGGAATAATCTAATGGATCAGGTGACATTACATAATTGGATACTCAGGGAAATGTGACAACTCATTACAGCCTAGTTAGGGAAGGAAGATTTTAATTGGGACCATCCAGAGCTAGACTGACAATTTCGGCATGAATTGGTTTCTCTGACTGCATAGGTTTTCAGAGAATTGTATTTTGAGCATGTCCAAAGTAACTATTGGATTGATTCGCTATGATCTTATTCACTATTGATTTTTAAATGGCAAAAGAAAATAAAAAGGGGTACAAGGGTTAGAACTGTTTGCCTTTTTCTGAACAAGATTGCCCTATCATTTACTGAAGCATTATTAAAGCATTATTTACGACAACCACAAAATGGAAACAGTCTAAGTGCCCACCAGCTGATGAACAGATAGAGAAGAGGCCATGTGTATGTACAGTATTGTACTATTCGGACATGAAATAAAAGACTTCAGCTGGGCGGCAATGGTGGCGCACGCCTTTAATTCCAGCACTCGGGAGGCAGAGGCAGGTGGATCTCTGTGAGTTCGAAGCCAGTCTGGGCTACAGAGCGAGTTCCAGGAAAGTGTCCAAAGCTACACAAAGAAACCCTGTCTCGAAAAACCAAAAAAAGAAAAAAAAAAAAAAAAAGAGTTCAATCCTGCCATGTGACAACTTGGATGGAACTAGAGATCATCACATTTAGTGAGCCAGGCATAGAAAAAATGAACACAGAATAATTTCACCCCTATGCCAAATTGAAAGAAATTGGTCTCAGAGAAGTTGAGCATAGACTAGAGTTTACCAGAGAATGGGGCGACTCTGTGTATTTGGGAGGGGTCATGTGGGAAGGTTGATCATGTGTACTAAGTTACAGTTAGGAACAAGACGTGCTGAGATGTTCCATATAGCAAGATGGCTACTGTTAACAATGTGCCCTGCATTTCAAAAACAAGTTGGAAGGACTTGGGATATTTTGCCATAAAGAAGTCATAAGTAGGCTGGAGAGGCAGCTCAGTGGCTAATGGTACTGGCTGCTCTTACTGGGAACACAGGTTCGATTCTCAGCACCCACGCTGCAGTTCACAATCATGTGTAACTCCAGCTCCAAAGGATCCGATGGCCTTTGTGGGCCCCGGGCTTGCACATGGTGCAGAGAATACATGCATCAAAACACCCACATACATAAAATAAAATAAATTTAAAAAATGTCTTTAAAAGGAGTGTTTAAAAGAGAGGCATGCTTAACTTAAACATCACATAGTACACACTCATATAAATTTATACGTAATATCTCATTATGAAATCCAATTTTGTATGTTTTTATGTACCAGTTAAAAATTAAAAGGCCTGGGGCAATGTGGCTTAGATGTTAGAATATTTGCCATGCACACAAAGTCCTTGATTCGATTTATAATACTGCACAAACCAATACCTTGCATTTGGGAGCCAGCAGCAGGGGGATCAATAGTTTAAGGTCAACACTAGCTACATAATGAATTTAAGGACAGTCTCTATCTCAAAGATTTTAAAAAAATTAATAAAATTAAAATGAAAAGAGAGAGAGAGATGGGTCAAGAAATAAAGGCAAAAAGTTCTTTTCCCTGTTCAGCTTTTTTGTTTTGTTTTGTTTTGTTTTTTGAGACAGGGTTTTTATCTGTGTAGCTTTGCGCCTTTCCTGGAACTCACTTGGTAGTCCAGGCTGGCCTCGAACTCACAGAGATCCGCCTGGCTCTGCCTCCCCAGTGCTGGGATTAAAGGCATGCGCCACCACCGCCCGGCCGGCCTCCCTGTTCAGCTTTTATGTGGATGGTGTCTTGACTGCAGCTGTGAGCTCTTTGGAGTCTTCAGCCTAAGCCCGTTCGCTGTTCTAGAAGCTGACTGAGATCACCGACCTCCAGACCCCAGGGCTTTGCCCATGGCACGACTATCTTGTGGGCACCAGCATGGGTAGAAAGGGCCTGTACGCTCTCAGTTCCAGCTCATGGTGATGTTATGTCTGGAAGCGCTGGCTCTGAACTTGGGAGTGAGTGGAGACGCACTACCCGCCTCCAGGTGCGTGTTTTAAATTCTCTAGAACATATAGTGTATTCATTCCACTGGGTTTCACACCCTCACAGCTCTCAAACTTTCCAAACCACCACTGACCAAAAGACTCTCTAGAGCAACAGGCAGCCTCAGAGATGAGGCATATTTTAGGTTTCCTCTAAGACACTGGTTCTCACATGGACCAAGGTCAAATTCAGGCAACTGTTGGGACTTCTAGTTTAAAAAAATATGTGTAAATATCTATTTTAGGCACCTGCCACTGATAGCTATTTCAAGAACATTCTAGGGTTTCAGGTGAGGGGAGATTAAACAAGTACTTCCAAGATAGCTGATGGAAGAGCTGAGTTACCTCAGACTCGGCAACCTAGCTTTGTTGTCTCAGTACTGAACAGGAACAGTCAACAGGGCGAGCTGGCTTTCCCTGGTTCAATGCTAAATAAGAGTTCAGTGGTAGTGCCACAAGATCCCTTTGAGAACAGAGACTCAAGTTGACTACTGCTTTGTAATTAGAAGAATTCAACCTGCTTCACATTTTTTTTTTAAACCCTAGATGGTGGGTATTTTGCTCAAACTTGTAATTTTAGGGACTTAATTCCTGGGATCCAGTAGAAAGCAAACATCCCAATGGCAAGGAATTGAGCAGCCTCCCATTTTGTGGACCAGAAGTCAGAATTCACACAGAGAAGCAGAAATAACCATGTCAGAGCTATGTCCAGTTTTTCACATATCTTCAAGGGGAGAAGACTAGCTCACTGCTTCCGGGCTGGTACAGTTCTGAGATGGAGTGAGGAACGCAGGGCCTGAACTACCGAGCCATGTCCTCCCTCACAATGCCAAGGGAAAGGCAAGGAGGACAAGTTTACTTTGGAAATCTAAAACCCAAACCACTGAGACCCGGTTCCAAATCCAGCTTCTTAAACAAACACCGGTTACTTTGTGCCTGGCAGGAAAAGGACAAGAAAGGAAGGAACGCTTAAGAACTTCTGAATAGATGTAAAGTCAAAGCAAGCTGCTGACGGCAGACCCATCATCCCCTAGGAAATTGAAGTGCCCTGGCCTCCTCCCTACTGCACCTGCAGAGAGCCCAAATACCCATTAGTCCTTTCCTAGCATCTTTTTTCTTTTTTGGAGACAGGGTCTTCCTATGTAGTCCTGGCTGGCCTGAGCTCTCTAGGTAGACCACGTTGGCCTCAAACTCATACATATCCTTCTGCTTTTGCCTCCCGAGTGCTGGGATTAGAGGCATTTCCAAGCATCTTAATTTAGGGTAGGAACATGGCACCACACCACTGGAAACCAGGCACTGTACTGCTGATAAACTAAGTCACCCTCCACACACAAGACTAATGCAACTTCCTACTTTCATATGTGATCACTCAATGGACACTTGTGGAACAGTGGCTGAATTTATTCAAGTATGTCTATCTACAACTTCTTTCTACAAATGTCTAGGTAAAACTAAATGCATTAGAAGAACCTGAGAAAGATAATTTCAATGACACACATCATCTCTTTTCAAAACACACCGAACCAAAACCCAAACACATGAGTAGTCCATACTTACTTGTATCTCAGAAAAAGCCACTGGGTGATCCATAACCCAACTAATACGATCCCATTTATTTCTGATACAGAAAATGCCCATTTGACCCGGTCGACATAATCAAAGAACTTGTCTGGGAGTGGAGGGCTGAGCTCCTTGGGAGGGACCCTCTCGTGCACGACTGTGATCATGACTGTTGTGAGGACAAGGTTGAAGAGGGCATACACGAAGGCAATGCCCGTTTTCCACCACTCCAGGGGAAACTTGTTCCTGGAGTCAGTGGGCATAGAAATCTGGATGTAGTCCGGGTACTTTTTGGCACCCTTTCGTAGCCCATTGGATAAGCTCTTGGGTTTACCATTGCCATTTTTGTTTCCGTCGTCTACAGCTTCACCAGGGCTTGTGTAAGTGTTGGTGGAGTTATTGGTTTGATTTTCCAAATGACCTTCAAGTTTTGCTGTCTCTATGATATCCATTGTCTGCCAGCCTTCAGAGCTAAAGGAGATGGTAAGGTTCTTGTTCTCTGGGGAAACTTAACTCTTTTAAATCCTTCTACTTCCAAGATCCACATGGACTCTTAGAATTGATGGTATGTGCTGATATGAAACGTGGACGGTGGTGGCTTTCTGGTTCTTAGTACTCTCATACAACAATCTGCTGGGTATTCACACAAGGAAGCTGATTCTCGTTCCCACAGAAGATGTTGCTGTCCCTCCTAAGAACAAAAGAAGAGGAGGTCAGAGGTGGCGCTTCTAATTACCAACCATTCGAAATGTAAACATTCTCAAAAACAAGGAAACCAATACCAAAGCACCTGATCTACAGAGCTCTCATCAGGACAAAGTCAGTGCCACTGAGACTGGATTTATTTATCCAGTGCTGGATTGTTTAATCTTGGGACGCTGGGCTCTCCTTGGGCTGATGTCAGCATAGATAAGAATGTTTTAACAATCAATTCCCTGTTAATTTCTTCCAATAAAGCCAGGACCCAATATTTCAAACACTTCACAAGTTGCTAACCATGAAGTCATAATACGCTAGAACCTGTCCAAAGACCACACCACTCCTTCCTGATATGGAAGACAGATATAGAACGGATCCTCTCTAAGAAAAAAACAGATCAAACAGCAGGGCATGGCGGCTCACACGTCTAATGACAGCATTCAAGGAGCTGAAGCTGGGGGACGACTGTGACTTTGAAGTCACCCTGGGCGACACAGTAAGTTCCAGGTTAGCATGAGCTAAAGTGTGAAACCGAGACACACGCTACATACAAAGTCAACAACCTTTAACAAAGTGGAAAGCTGTACAAAGCCTGTGCTGTGTCTCATTTGGAAAGCGGGTAGCAGGTACCACAAAAACTGATTAACAATATTTTGCTACACTCACAATTTCTACCAAGCAATAGACACAGCATTCAAGCGGCCCTCCTTGGGTCTCTCACCTACCGTGGCTGAGGAAAGGCACCTTTGGCTCAAGGGCCACAGGCTCCGAGGAGCAGAGACTTCTCACCACACTGAGAAAAGCCGGCGCCGCCGGCGGCCACTCTTATAGTAGCTGCACTATGGGCCAGCTGGTCCCAATTTAGGAAAGTCGCAATTCAGTCAGGCCACCAGCCCAGCCACCTGAGGGGTTCTGAAACCCTGTAATTAGTCTCCACCCTGAGGACACCGCACAACTTTAGCACACTTCTTCCAATTTTAAAGGCCTCCTTCTCAGGGTAAATATAGATTCGGTGCAGTGACAGCTAGGCCTTCAATGCACGTAAAAAGAGGAAATCGTTAAGTGGTACAGTGAATACATCCAGGTATTTCCTCAACACCAAGGTGGCGAAGAGATCAACTACAAGAGTTTATTGTACACTTACTATCTCAACACTGAGGAACGCAGGGGCAGATGAAAGGGTTGTTTGTTTGTTTGTTTGTTTAAGACAACACAGCATAGGAACTATTAGGAAGATGCAGATTGACAGCCCTATCTCAAAAAATAAGGTGCAGAATGTCTAAGGAAGCCATCTGATGTTGACCTTTGGCCTACACACACACACACACACACACACACACACACACACACACACACACACACACACTCAGCCTATAGCACCTAGTTTAGTTGAAGAGCTGGAGCAAGAACATAGCTGTGCAAGGCAAGGGAATATTCATATTGTGAAAGAAAGCCCCGAGATGAGCTGGCCACAAGATAAAACGTCAGATTTATTTGTTATGTATCCCTCTCCTCTGGCGAGTGGCATCTACTTGCAGACACAGCCCACTCTTGAGAAAGAAAAGCCATCAGGGGAGTTGACCTGGTAGAAAAAAGGATCACTGGAGGATGAGTAGCCATGAGGGGTCATCCACTTCCCACAGCTCACCTTCTCTTGTCCCTGTGAAAAATCAACCCGGCTACTGAGGCACTAGAGAGGGTGAGCAGGCCCGTGTTCCTCCAGCCTGACCAGTGTCCTCTGCAGTGCCTGTGGAAATGCTGAGGGAAGCATAAATGTCTCTCTCAAAGAGGAGCCTCAGCGAGACGACTCCAACAGCAGCTCTCTCCACCATGGACACCTCCTTCCCAGGAAGACATCCGGGCCCTCAAGCAGCGACGGCTGGTGTCTGCCCACTCCAGCCTAGCTGACTAACATATTCAACATTCTACATCCTAGCCTGGTGTTCATGCATACAAGAAGCTTCATCAGTGGACACACAGGCGGCCTTTGTAAGGTGGTCATCTAGTTCTAGAACATAGAATGTGGAGAAGAAAATCCAATCACTCTTCTCCCCCAAGAGAAAGAACTCCGGCACCTACCTCAGGGGACTACTATGAACTTGACTGAAATAATGATCATGCTGAGTGTGAGCCCTTGGGAGGAACCAGAGGAGCCACTCTGTGAGTGCAGTACCCACGGATTGTCATTAGCAGAGCTGATATTTTCCTTGGAATTTCATTAAGGTTAAATACATTCATCTGTGTCATCCAACCACCAGCCTCAATGTTGTGAAGATGATGACTATGCCATATTCATTCTTATAATTATTCCTTCCTCTCACTGCCTAGAAAATGACAAAAACCACAGCGGTGCCTCTTTGGGTGGCAATTCCATTAGTTCACCTGTGTGGGTTACCACACCAGAGCATAAACCAGTGCCAAGCTATCCACGTACCTGCCATGTGTTAACCTAGAGAACATCAAGACAGCCTAAGTCTTTACAAACTCACCTTCCTTGTGAAAGCAAATGCAAAATACTGAGACTTGGTTTTGGTACACGGGTATGATTCTTTTAGTTTTTTTAACTACAAAGTGGGACATATTACAGAAATTTAAGTACTTTTTATAATTTTAGGAAGTGATAATAGGAAAATATGCCAGAAGTGCACTTTTAAGAAGTGATTATTAGTCTGGAGATCCAGCTCTGCAGTTGAGAATATCAGCTGCTCTTGCAGAGGACCTGGGTTTGTTTCCCAGCACCCATAATGAGTGACTCAAAACCTCTTGCATGTAACTCCAGTTCCAGGAGATCCAGAACCCTTGTCTGGGCACCTGCACACATATGGTGCATATACAGACACACACTTCCACACATATACACACAAACAAAAATATATCAACTTTTTTTAAAAAAAAGTAATTATCTTGAGTGAAGTAAAAGGGACATTTGATAAATTTCAGTTTCTATTTTGCAGATCAAGTATCCAGGGCTAGGAACGGGAAAAGCATTGCTTTGCTCCATGGGTGTCTATATCACGTTTAGTTGTGTTATTACGTGCGCTGATGTCTTGTGTGAAACATTCCCACTGCTGCGTGCGTCCCTTTGCACTCTTAAGTTTAGAGTCCTTTGTTGAACTACAGGAGATCGTGTATTGTGTTCCTGCATTTTATGTCTCTCATCTTTACTCCTGAGTCTTCTACTCAGTAAACCAACTGTCTTCAATACGGTTTCTATCGCTGTGATAAAATACCATGACCAAAAAGCACGCTGGAGAGGTAAGGGTTTCTTTAGCTTACACGTCCATAGCACTGTTCATCATTGAAGGGAGTCAAGACAGGAGGAACTCAAGCAGGACAGGAGCCTGGAGGCAGGAGCTGATGCAGAGGCCATGGAGGGGTGCTGCTTACTGGCTTGCTTCCCATGGCTTGCTCAGTCTGCTTTCTTACAGAACCCAGGACCACCAGCCCAGGGATGGCATTGCCCACCATAGGCTGGACCTGCACATTAATCACTAATTTAAAAAATGACCTACAGGCTTGGCTACAGCCTGATCTTTTGGAGGCATTTTCTCAGTTGAGGTTCCCTCCTCTTAGATGACTTTAGCTTGTATCAAGTTGACATAAAATTAGCCAGCACTCCAAGATGAGTGAACAGTCAAATAAACCAGCTTTCTCATGCATACCATTGGACGGTCTACTTACAAATTAAACACACATGCATCTGTATGACAGAACCTAATCTATGCTTCCTACCCGACCACAAGCTACTGGATTAATGTACTCCCCGTAACAAAGGACAAAATGTCCTCAAATTCTAATAATTAATTAAAGGAGACTAGTTGGGATTTGTGTGAAGAAAACTATGAAACAACAACAACAACAACAACATTGATGGGGAGAAAAGAAAACACAAAGATACACACCCTCCTAGGAAGAAGGGTGAGACCATATGTCACCAAGGGTTTGACACTATCATACCCATATATAATTTGTCGCTGAATTTTAACAAGCCCAGTAGGACTTCTCCTGTAATCTGACAAGGGCTTTAACACAGGAATTGAACAATGGAAGTGGCAATGGATCTGTGCCATCACACCACATGACGCTGTTGCCATCATGATGGCGCTTTCACCTGGATTCCCATTTTGTAGGTGTACTCCCCAGTGAAATAAGAAGCATACAAAATATTTAAGCATGTTTTCAATTTCTACTTCTAAGAAAAATTTGTAAAAAAAAAAAAAAACCCTCAATGTCCAATATAGGGCACTGATTCAGAGAACTGTGGATCCCTCACTGTTAAGAAATTCTGTGTAGTGATGTAGATGGGCTGCCTGTTCCTAATCTGAAATGCTGAAAAATCTAAATTTTTTTCAGCATTCACAGGATTCCATAATTCTCATGGTTCAATACACGCAAATTTGGTTCATGTTTAAAATACTGTATGAAATTACCCCCAGTTGCATATATAAGGTATATATGAAAGGTAAATAAATTTTAGTTAGGCTGGGATTCTATCCCTGAGAAATATCATCATGTATACGCTAATATTCCAAAATAAAAGAAGTTCCCAAATCCAAAACATTTTTTTGATTTGTTTTGATTACTGTGTATGTGTATGCCACATGTGTGTAGGTGCCTGTAAAGGCCAGAAGAGGGCATCAGATCCCCTGCAGCTGGAGTTAGAAGCAGTTGTGAGTAACACAGTATGAATCGTCCTCAAGGGCAGCAAGCATTCTTAAGGGCTGAACCATCTGTCCCTCTACCCCTTACCCCCATAAGAAACCTTCCTGACTCCAGGCACTTAGGATAAAGGATATCAAACGTGTTTCATAACTGTAAGGCTACAAAAGAGATACATAACTACTAAACAATACAGTCTACAGCTAAGGGCAATTCAACCTGGACAGGCCGTAGAGCATCAACAATGCCTAGCAGAGGTTACAGTAAACAAAATGGAAAAAGGGTCATAGGATCCGGAGTCAAAAGGTTACAAGCTAAGGTAGGAGTTTGAAG